TAGGAATAAAGACTAAAACAGCCTACCTGCATGATTGCAATAATAATTTTTGTTTTGGGTTTGATGTCGCTAAGGGAAGCGAGGACAGTCAATCCTCGGGGCTGATGAGACGACGACGCGCGGTGTTGTCTAAAGCCACGATGGAAAAATTTACGAACACGGGGCGGTTCGCGCGTAATTAAGCGTCCCCGGGTCAAATCAGTGAATTAATCAACGATCTTCTTTTACAGAGTCATCCGCGTGCATCGGACCTGGGCGTCGTCGAACGGGTTTTGTTGTATTTTTAACAGCTGTCCAGCGAGGCCTCGGACGGAGCTTCAACGGTAGATTTGTGTTAGGCTCCTCAGAGAATTCCTGTCGTGTGGTTAACATTTTTTTTTGTTTCAACAGGACGCGAGGAAGCCGCTGGAGGTGTTGATTATGGGTAGGAAAAAATTAGGGACTCCAGATTATCGTAACCTAGGTTTTAGGGAAGTGGAACAGAGTTTAATGTATGTGTTTGAATGTGACGGGTGAATCATTTGACCTTCTGTTATTTATTTATTATACCTTCCGTTCGATATTAAACGTATTTTTTGTACACTTTAACATTTGGTGCTGACACGTTAAAAAGAGCACTGAATATTAAAGTTGACGGTTTTCTTTTTGAATTATTTTTCGACAACAACTTCTCGAATAGGAGTTAGAGACTGACCAATTGATGTATAGCTATTCTGACATGTGCACATAGACATCTGGCGGGCTATGTTTTGCCAGGTATGACATTCGCGACCCAATATGTTTTGGACAATCCGAATGTCTTGCTCATAATTAATTAATTAATTAATTAATTTGGGCCCTGTCGAAAGAATGTAGTGCTGATCAGATACATATGTGAATAGCTACGCAACTTTGCAAAGTCTAGAATTGCACAATGGACTGCAGTCCGTAGGTAATTGTTATGAAAGAGAGCTCTGGAAGGATGAATGAAAGATTAGCGGAAAGATTGATGTGTTTTGAGGTGATCAGAACGTTTGACGAAGGTTTGAATGTTATAGAAAGAATAGGTATGGATTGGCTAGGCATAAACCTCTTAAGGCCGCTATAGAGCTTTTCACGAAGCCCATACAATTTTCCCTGCCAGACCTCTCGGAGCGTAATTTTGCGAAAAACATGGGGATGTTTGAATATTTTTTACAGTGATATTATGAATAAAAATGTTTTGGGTTTGATGTCGCTAAGGGAAGCGAGGACAGTCAATCCTCGGGGCTGATGAGACGACGACGCGCGGTGTTGTCTAAAGCCACGATGGAAAAATTTGCAAACACGGGGCGGTTCGCGCGTAATTAAGCGTCCCCGGATCAAATCAGTGAACTAATTAAAGATCTTCTTTTGCAGAGTCATCCGCGTGCATCGGACCTGGGCGTCGTCGAACGGGTTTTGTTGTATTTTTAACAGAAGTCCAGCGGGGCGTCGGACGGAGTTTCAACGGTAGATTTGTGTTAGGCTCCTTAGAGTTTTCCTGCCGTGTGATTGACATTTTATTGTTTCAACAGGAACGCAAGGAAGCCGCCGGAGGTGTTTGATTATGGGTAGGAAAAATTAGGGACTCCAGATTATCGTAACCTAGGTTTTTAGGGAAGTGGAACAGAGTTTAATGTATGTGGTTGAATGTGACGGGTGAATCATTTGACCTTCTGTTATTTATTTATTTTATACCTTCCGTTCGATATTAAACGTATTTTTTTGTACACTTTAACATTTGGTGCTGACACGTTAAAAAAAAGGCACTGAATATTAAAGTTGACGGTTTTCTTTTTGAATTATTTTTCGACAACAATTTCTCGAATAGGGGTTAGAGACTGACCAATTGATGTATAGCTATTCTGACATGTGCACATAGACATCTGGCGGGCTATGTTTTGCCAGGTATGACATTCGCGACCCAATATGTTTTGGACAATCCGAATGTCTTGCTCATAATTAATTAATTAATTAATTAATTTGGGCCCTGTCGAAAGAATGTAGTGCTGATCAGATACATATGTGAATAGCTACGCAACTTTGCAAAGTCTAGAATTGCACAATGGACTGCAGTCCGTAGGTAATTGTTATGAAAGAGAGCTCTGGAAGGATGAATGAAAGATTAGCGGAAAGATTGATGTGTTTTGAGGTGATCAGAACGTTTGACGAAGGTTTGAATGTTATAGAAAGAATAGGTATGGATTGGCTAGGCATAAACCTCTTAAGGCCGCTATAGAGCTTTTCACGAAGCCCATACAATTTTCCCTGCCAGACCTCTCAGGCGTAATTTTGCGAAAAACATGGGGATGTTTGAATATTTTTACAGTGATATTATGAATAAAAATAAATATATTTTTCTGCAATTAGATTAAGTACATCTTCTTAAATAACATATCTTTTTTAAATCTTTACTACTGTTATTTTTCATACAGAAGCCGTTATAATGGCGCATTATTTTGCAAAAATCGTATATAAAACAGGGTATTATTCTATATTTCTGTATAAAATTGTAAAATGTTCACTGTAGACTTTGTTCTCAAATATATACTCTATTTTTTGTATAATTGATATTTTTACAGTGAACCAAAACTCTAAAACTCACGCTTGATTTGAGGTCTTTTCCTGAATTTTGGTTTTGTCGCTTTAGATATCGCTGTTTGTAACAGGTTTAAAACTAAAATGTTAATATTTACATTGTACATTTTTAGATGAAGATATGCTTGATTAAATGTTCAAGTAACATATTATTTTTACATAACGGTTTTCGAGAAACTCGCATGTTTATAAAGCCAATATTTGCAAATTTGCTAGAAAAATTGAATGCGGTCTTAAGGTTTTGCGTGATGGCCGGGTTATTTAAGGTGTGCTGGGAGACCCGGGTATTCCTGATCGTTATCCCTTCTAGACCTAGAGGTCTCTATCAAAACCTAACCTTCCTGGGAAGTCGTGTCATATTCTTTTCTTACAGCACGCGTAACTTGCCGCCGTTCGAGTCGATCATCGTACAACCGTGATATTATTGTTTTCTTTTACCCTTAATAAAACAGGTAAAGCAGCCGTTCACGAAGAAAGGACCGCTCGGCCGTTTAAGACTACGAGCTAATCGAGTCAACGCTGCCAGCTCAGAACGAGACCCGCGATGGCTTCAGATCAATATGTGCGGTCTAGGACGTCTGGAGTTATTACAGCTAAGTGGACGCTTGTTTTAATTTATAATAATGTTGTGTATTCCGTTCCAGCTTCCCTATTTTATGTTCTTTCCTTATGTAGAAACGCGCGTACTCATAATTGCACAACGTAGAGTCTGAACTAAATCCACTAGACGAGTTAGGTATCGAAGGCCAAGTTTTACACTATAAATCCTTTAAAGATTTTATTAGGTAGGTAGAACATTTGTTACACTACAAATCAACAACTATGTATGTTTGTCTGTCCATATGCCCAGTTCTGCACCTCATAACATCACATCAGTCTGTAGCAGTCCACTGCTGGACATACTCTTAGGTCTCCCCCAGGGCACGCCACGAGGCACGATCTGCCGTTTTTCCCATCTTTTGCGCCTATTGACATGAAAAAGTTTTTGACGAAAATTCATTTGTTTTTACATTAACACAAAAGTCCCATAATAGGGAAACGCCGCACGGGGTGCCTTTGCAGATGGCTCACTCAAAAGGTACTAGCGATGATTTTGACGCTTATGGACTCTAACTGGAAATAACTGGAATCGGAGGTAACTAAGTAGATGGTTGCTACGAACGTCATATTTCTTGGATTTGACGTCAGAATATGACGTTTCTTGGATTAAAATTGGCTCAGAAAAAGGTCGAATGATCCTTCTGGAAGTTCTTTATTTTGTGCTCAAGTGTAAGTATAAAAATATGAAAAAACATGTCGAGAAACAGAAAACAGATTAGACGTGTGTGACAAAATTTCGCAGATGCGAGTAATTTACCAATACATTCCAAAAGTCTCTTATAAATAGCCAAGATATCTATCTGTTTACATCTCAGCCGCTGTTTAACAGGCTATTCACGCTACCAGACACTTCACAATACAAATGCGAAGATTACATTGAAGCCACGGTACCCACGTCCTGAGTGTCCTGACCTAAACAAATATTGTTTTAATAAAGCAGAAGTGAGCAGGGCATTGTCTCGAAATTTACTCCCATCGTGGTTGGCAACTAAGTTGTTAGGCGGGAATCATACGTGACGTCACTTGATGCGCATCCGTAACGCTTGCGTGTGTCAGATGCAATGAGTTCTCGAATTTGTCCATTTTTAAAACGAACGTTGACACCATAAGAACAATGGAGAGTTAACAGAAGGTTCACTCGACCCTATTCAGGATTTTTACGATTGTCACTTGTTACATAGCCAGGGTTGCTACTGTCAAAAATCTCAAAGTGTAAGAATATCAAAACAGCAAAATTTGATACAAGAATGTTATATGATTGTAAGCAAATTTTAATCCAAGAAATATACGTTCGTGGCAACCAACTTCCCCTGTGATTCCAGTTAAAGTCAGTAAGCTTCAAAACCGTCGCTAGTACTGAGTGAGCCATCTGATTCTGTATATAGGCGCCCCGCGCGCCGTTTGCCCTAATTTGTGCCATAAGTAATGCATGAACTTGAGTGGTTCCAAGCATCTGACACACAACGCAAGCTTATGCTCTGCTTGTAAGTCAACGTCTGTTTGAGTTTGTGGAATTCAAAATTCTGTTGCGTCTGATGGACATCTGAGTCAGACCGCGAAAATGCGCAACAACGGACGCCAAGTGTGATTGCCGCTCTGTTTCGGCGATACGCCTGCTTCACTGCTCATGGCCCCTTGCCAAGCGTCATTAGCCAACTCGCTCGCTAACGAGAGTTCGATGTAAAACAAAACAGAAGACGGGCATAAAGTTGCGCTAAGCCACACCAACAAATATCTCTCGTGGAACCCAAGAACTGCGCGAAAATACAAATCCTACCGCTCTATGATATGTTTGTAGATTGGATGTCGCGCAGTGGTAGTGCGGCTGCCTGCGACGCAAAAAGTCCCGGGTTTAATTCCCGGTGGGTCACTTACAAAAGTTGATATTTATGATTAAGTAAGTGAGTTTGTTCCTAGTCTGGTTAGGGTATTGCAGATTGTCCGAAAAACAACATCGTTCCGTGCTTCCGAAGGCACGTTAAGCCGTCGATCCCGGTTGCTGCGGCGGTTTTTAAACAACCACGTCAGAGGCCTACTACTTGTAGTAGGCAGTGCCTACTACAAGGCAGTGGAAAAACTGTGACGCTGGTCCATCGAGTCGTTGGACGCCTCATTTTCCCGCTTGAATAGGAAGAGAATGTGGCTTCAGCTAGACTAAAATAATTATTTTCAGACGGATATCAGCATATACTATGACCCAAATGTTGTTCTGAACCCGAGCAACTGATAGCTCTTGTGGATCCCAACCCAAGATCTGCGCGCCGCAAAATACGAATCCCACCGTTCTATGACATGTTTGCACTAATGTGGCTCCGGCGAGCCTAAAATAACTGTTATTTAGACGGATATTTAGCATATAATAACCAGAATTTAGATTTCTTATTAAGAAGATAAGTATAATTAAGTCCAGTTCATGTCAATATTTTTTCTGATTAAAATCGCTTAAGACTAACTACAAAGATTATACATCGATTCTTCATAATACAAAACCGTGTCGCTACGACAAAAAAGAAGCCAAGTCCTCAAATAATAACATTAATCTTCTTACTCGAAGAACTAAGCATTCAAATTAAGAAATACTCTCACACATTCCACTTGCACAAACCGCTCGCTACGCCAGTCACGATGACCGAATAACTCGCGTCCACGATGTGGGCCAACTGCAGCGCTGCATTCGAGTACACAAACATTAGGCGTCGTCCGCGGGACATACAAGTAATCGTAAATCTATGAACGAAACTAAAACCAACAAATTTATGAATCTGCTAAAATCTTCTTCTTTTACAATAACAAAAGAGAGATTATTCAAAATCAGTGCTCAAATAATGAAAATAACAAAAAAAATACAATACGTCTACGATGTGGGCCAACTGCAGTGTTGCATTTGAGTACACAAACATTAGGCGTCGTCCGCGGGAACAAACACCGCCCACCGCTGACAAAGGTGCCGTTGTCGTATGAATTTCAAGCTCGCTATTTGTTCTCTGCAATCTCGGATTTATTTGTTTCTACTCATTGTTGCGAATGCGATCGTAGCTGTTTGCTACAATCCCTTCTATAAGCGTAGCTGTTTGCTACAATCTCTTCTACAATCGTAGTGCTGGAGCTACGAATCAATCTCATAGAAGATTATTGTAACCTCTGACAAAGGTGCCGTTGTCGTATGAATTTCAAGCTCGCAATGGCTGTTTGCGTTCTGCAATCTCGGATTTATTTGTTTCTACTCATTGTTGCGAATGCGATCGTAGCTGTTTGCTACAATCCCTTGTGCAATCGTAGTAATGAAGCTACGATCAATTTCGTAGAAGATAATTAATTACTTTTTCAACATGTGAAGACTTCTGATTTTACTGTTTAAATATTTAAAAACGTATTTTAGTTTCTTTTTGGATTGTTTAAAATTGTTTCCTACCTTTACAATAGTAGAATGCCTAAATAAAAAATGGCATCCATTAATTTCGATTTCGAAAACGTCCTCTTAACAAAAATTTATTTAAATTATCTGACTAGAATTCTCCTGCAAAGTTAGCTTACTGACGAAGGTTGAGTATTTGAACGGGGTATTTGTTTTCAAACCGATCCTCAACAAGTTAGAAATGCATTTGGTTTCCTAAATTACTCAATGTACTTTGAGAAATTCGACGCAGAACATTTTGTAAAGCAATTCGGTGCCGATTAAATTGGACGCTCCGTGAATAATTCCCTGTTTAGTTGAATATTCAGATCCTGGTTTCTATAATTCAGCGGATACCCGTTTAATTTATCTCTTCTTACTTGTAGAGTGGTCAATGAGTGGTTATTTTAGGGCTTCTGATTGGAAAATCCTAGACCATCAAATTCTACGACGGAACTTTGTTTGGGTTCTTAGGGAGACAAACATACTAAAATACCACACCTATCCGAGGCTGGGCGCCGTGGGAAAAACACAAAGATAATCAAAATTTTTGGTTTTCTGCTTATATCTCAAAAACGAGACAATGTACAAAATTTTGTTATACTAGACAAGGAAAGCTTCTTTGTGCTTCCAACACGGCGTCCAGCATCGAGGAGATGAGGTATTTTAGTATGTTTGTCTACTGAAGAGCCCAAACAAAGTTCTGTCATAAAATCGATGTTCCAGGATTTTCCAACCAAAATCATTCATTGACCACTCTATCTATCTCTGTAATAGTGATGTCAAAGTGGCGATTACACACGACGATTTCTTGCGTCTCCACTGTTTCGCTGCCATCCCATGGCATTGAGGCTTAGTTGTCATAATTTTCTAATTAAGTACATTATCAGTCGACCTTACTATTTACGTACGCAAATGTCACATAGGTATATTGTGGGAACATCTAATGTACGGTAGATACCCATAAGTAAACGGCAATTTTAAGACGTAAGACGTCCCAATTGCCCAAACCCCTGCGCTCTTCAGGACCTCTGGAAGCGAGCCCCAGGGGAATTTCAGTTGCCTAGTATTGGTAAAATAAAATATAACTGTTGCCATCGACTCGACGAAGAAGAAGAAGACGTAATATGGCGAGACATGACGGTGACGTATAGCGCCATGCAAACACATCCAAAACTATCTGTACCTATCACACAAGCTATTAAGGTCTTCTTGGACACCATCTCATGCTTAACCAACTATATTACGTCTTATTTGGCAGAGCTTTTATAAAGCTTTTAATCATCCTATCCACTTACCACTGAATGATTCAAATTAATTTTCATAGAAATTCAAGCACAAAATTAAATTCCAACGCAGCTCCTATGACTAAAAATTATTATAACAATTTTCATTAGAGTAACCGTTAATGAAGAACGTAATAGTAGTTTTAGTGGAACGTAGCACTATTATTATCCTGAGTTCCAGTGGCAGTTGCCTGATTAAAGTAATTAATTTGTTTTAGAACAATAATTTCGTTTGCACATAAAAGTAGTTACTTTACGTAATATAAAATACCCCATATTCTGTTACAATTCTGTTAATAAAATGTTTGAAATATTTCAGAAAATAATCTGTGCCCTGTTTTAACTACTACCTACAAGATTAGAGGAAAAATTTGATGTACATTGTTGTTGCGTATCTGATATAATTATGGGGTCTTGATGGCTAACCTGATACGCAATATACATTTGAGTTGTACACTTGTAATTTGTAGTTTGAAGGTAGATACTGTAAACAATATACTTAAAACACACATTCAAACCCTTGAAAAAATTATGTTGTGATTATAAATAGGTTACTTATGCGGTCTCTACCTGTTAGATACCCAGAGTAGGCGTTCCAAAAAAACATCCTGTTTGTATCTTTAAGCAATGCTTTTTTTTAATTTTAAACTTGTATCCAAACAATTCAATAAATATTTACCATTCTGTTTAATAAATATGAAAATCTCCACGTCGTAATAATTCTTCAAAATGGCTGACGACGTCGTCGGCTTATCTTCTCAACGTCTCAATAAGGTGGCTATTACAATACCCCGGCAACAGGGTCTGGTTTGGGGTACATTGCTGGCTATACAGAATGTAAAAAAAACAACTGCAAATATTTTAAGGGGTGAACAATTACACGAAACTGAACAACTTTCCCCAAGGAACATAAGCCCCATAAAATATTTGTACCTCCCATGACTTGGTCGAGCCGGTATATGTACGTTTAGTACGGAAAGAACAAAAAAAAATGCTTATAATACAAATGATCACTCCTTGAAATTTTTAAATTTTTTTACACCTCACTTGCGGACGTCATTGCCATAAACTGAAGTCCCTGGCTGGCATTGTGCCACTTACAATAATTTTTACGAAGAAGAAGGGGACTCCAAATAGCAAAATTATTGTTGACATCTTGCTCAAATGTCATGTAATATGAAAAATACGCACATAATAATGTTGCCATCTCCGGTCTCTTTCTTCTATGAATCAGGTTGGGAAGAGTTGGCTATATTGTACCCCCTAATTTCTATATTGTTTTGCGACTAAACGATTAACGTTATACTTGTGATGTTTTGCTTTTTAGTTAGTTTAGTTAATTAACTCTGATGTACCGGAATGGATTTTTGAAATAAGTTAGTAGTTTCGTCACAAAATAGTTTACAAAAAAAAGTTGCTATCAGTACGATTTAGAGACTGGTACGTTTATTCGTACCACGAGGTTTTTATATCGTACTTTGAAAATTACAATACAAATTGTGAATATAAAATATTGTGCAAATTTCTTTAAAAAAAAGCCATTAAAGAAGGGACAATGTTGAATTACCATCTCCACACTTTCAACAACTAACCACACCTCTCAGATCAGAGATCCATTATGTTAGGACTAGAACCGATATATCTTAGTAACAATCCTTTGGTACGATTTAGAAACTACGGATCGGTACGATTTCAAGAACAAGCCACATTTTTCAAAAAATATTTTTCATTTCTAAACCTCATATGATTGCGTTGGTTCATTAAGTTAAGTCAAAAGGAAAATAACCAAGGAACAATCTGATTAAATTGCTATTTTTAATAGCTTGCCGTTCTTTCGTAAAACCTTAGGTTCTACACCTAAAAAACAGTAACGGGGTCAACTGAAACCAGTTTTATTTTATTGAATTTATAGTTTCATTTGTAGTGCTGTCACAAACCGTCATAGTTTTTTGGGTGTTGTGAACTATCATTTAATGTTGCCAAAGTAAATAAAAACGTACGTTTAGTGGAAAATGTGTAGGTGGTACGATTAATCTGCTGGTACAATATGTCCAACTCTCCCCTTATACTTTATAATACTTATGAACTCGACATTGGCCAAATACGACGCGCATCAGAGTTGTAAAGCCAGTGAATCTTATCTATACATATAATAAAACAGAAACGAAACCAATTCTGTACATGGGATAG